CCCCAAAACCCCAAAACCCCAAAACCCCTTAGCTAGCATTTGGATAATATTGCGAGAATATGTATTAATTATTTGTCACTACTTTGCATTTTAAGCATTATTTTGATCTTCTACAGTTTTATTACTTGCTGCTTCTTTTTCTAGCTTTTTCTCTTCTTCCCTCTTTTTCTTTTCCTCCTTGTTCAACTCTTCATCATGTGATCCTAGATTCTTAAGCTCAATCTCCTTGATTAGCTTCTCAACTCTGTCCTCAAACTATAATACATCATAAGATGATTTATTAAAATTCCTACATCGTCAATCTCTTCATTATATTCATGAATGAAGCCATCAATTAGTTAAGCCTCATTTGAAATTCCATTTTCATCGACAACAATTTTACTTTCAATTAGCTCTAGAAACTCCTTCATATTGCATGAACAAAGAATCCTTTTTCTCATAGTTCTGTATCCTGATGCTGATAGGAATTCTTTCTGCTAGTTTTCGTCCATTTTGCCAAGCTAAAATTGAATACACATTTAAAGTATGATTTCTTACTGCTGTCAAAATATTGATTATGAGTTGTCTTGAGAAACCATTCTTCAATCTTCTCTCTCCATCAAGAAAGCAAGCGCCTAGTTTATTAACTGATTCCTAAGTAAGCTTCTCTGGCTTGTATTAGAAAGATTCTGGCAATGTAAAGGTTATAGATTTCGGGTTATATCTAGTTATGAATCGCTTCTTGTATTTATTGATGGTCCTCTATTTTCTTGTTCTGAAGAAGTTTGTGATTCTTCTGTAGTAGTGATACAATCCATAGAGCATCAACATATAAAAGAATCTACGCTTCTTCTTGGTAAAGAACTCCATGCATTTCTATGAGAAAGGTTTATCTTAATGCGCTTGTCTTTACCTAAGTTCATCAATCCATAGTTTCATTGCCTTTCTCTAAGTCTATAATATTCAGTTAGCATTAAATGAATCACAACGAATAATTGTCATCTCTTACATAGTGAACAGTGAGTCTATCAAAGCTAAATTGCCTCATTTATATGTTCATGAAACTATTGGTGTGACTCATATTTCTGATTAAGCCATTTTGCAATTGATTGTTGTGTTTAATTATTTACCTCAAATTAATCATTTTAATTTATTAATGAAAAGAAAGCGATTGATATCTCAATTATAATAGATCTAAATCTATAATATTACTTTTGCTAATAAAAATGCAGGCAGCTTTAGATAAAGTTATTTGCGATAATGGTTCTGGTTACCTCAAGATGGGGTACGGAGGTGAAAACTTCCCCCGCTTCACCATTCCTTCAATTGCTGGTCGCCCATTACTTAGAGCAAGCCAGAAAATCGGTGAAATTGAATTGAAGCCACTCATGTTGGGAGACGAGGCTAATCCTTTGAGGACATTTTTAGAGATATCATATCCAATCAGAGAGGGAATCGTTGAATCATGGGATGATTTGACAGCTCTTTGGAAATATACCTTCCACACTAAGATGGGATTACCCTAGGATCTTAGCAATCACAAAATTCTAATAACTGAGGCAGCTAGAAATCCCAAGAAAAATAGATAAATGATGGCAGAGGTATTGTTTGAAAAGTTCGGCTTCGGTGGAGTTATGTTTGAGATTCAAGCTCTTTGCTCTTTAATGGCTGAAGGTGAAACTACTGGCTTAGTATTTGATGCTGGTGATGGTGTTTCTCATTGTATTCCTGTATTTGAAGGTATTCCACTATATGACTAGATTAAGAGATTGAATGTCGCTGGAAGACATGTGACCGATTACCTTATTAAGCTTCTATTATTCAGAGGATATGCTTTTAACAGCAGTGCCGACTTCGAGACAGTTAGAGAGATCAAGGAGCAACTCTGCTATGTCAGTTATGACCTCAAGAAAGATCGTAAATTGGCCTAGGAAACAACAGTCGTAGATAAAGAATACAGACTTCCAGATAATACTGTTATCAGTGTAGGAAGAGAAAGATTTGAGGCACCAGAGTGTTTATTTAATCCAATGTATGTTGACGTTGAGAGCCCAGGCATCAGTGATCTTATCTTTGACTCTGTTAACGAATCACCCCTTGATTGCCAAAGAGCATTGATCTAGAGAGTTATGCTTACTGGAGGTACAACCATGTTCCCAGGTTTGAGTTCAAGAGTGGAAAAGGACTTGAAGGATATTTATGTTAGAGAAAAATTCAAGGGCGATAAATCAGGACTTAATAGAGTCAAAATTAGTGTGCATGATCCACCCAGAAGAAAGCACGGAGTCTTTATCGGAGCTAGTTTCCTTGCCAATTTCGCACCTCCTGACAGATGGGTTACAAGAAAGGACTATCAAGAGCAGGGCTCTAAGATGTTCCTCAGATGAGCATTTCGAAAAGAGGATGAGACTTTGTTTGTGTTATCAGAAATCAATCTAGTCTATTAATTTGACAATTATTTATTTCCTTTTTTCGTTAAGAATTAGAGTTATGGGGTTTTGGGGTTTTGGGGTTTTGGGGTTTTGGGGTTTTGGGGTTTTGGGG